GCGTCCCGGTGCTGCGGGCTGAAGAAGCTCTGTGGGGGGATCTGCAGCGGGTGCAGCGGCAGCCCGCCGGGGCCCTGTGCGTGTGTGCCGGGCTCCTGCAGCACCATGTCCGGGAACAAAGTCCTGCCGTTGCTCCCCTGGAAGCAGGAGCCGAACACTCCGGCGGCAGTGGCCGGGTGCAGGGAGTCCGGGAAGCGCAGCGCCGTGGGCCGGATGGGCTCCTCCCCGGAGCCGCCGCCGTGGCTGCTTCCGTCCTTCCCGACCAGAGACTCGATGGTGAAGCACTTCTTGTTTCCGCCGTGCTGGAACATCGTGAGCACCGCTGCAGACCGAGCGCTCAACTCTTCAACGACCCGCCGTCCAGTCAGTCCAGGTCCGCGGACTCGGGGAGCTCACACTCCCACTCCCCCCATGGTGACTCTCCGCTGTGCGTAAAAGCGCAAATCCGGACACTCCGCACCGGGAAGGGGCCGAAGTTTCCTCTCACCTGTGGCCGGGGTGGGCTCCGCTGTCGGGGTGATAATGCTCAGAGGCTCCGGGTGATCCTCGGCCGCGTGTCCTCCTGCCTCGTGCCGCCGCGCGCTGATGTGTGAGTCTAGCCGGGAGTGTCAGTCAGTCAGGAGCCTCGGCACTGATACCTGCCCTCTCTGCCAGAGGTGTGCGCCGAGCATGCGCACAGGCAGCCGCCCCGACAGCCATTTTGTTGATGGAGAGGATGACGGTGAGGAGGAGGAGGAGGAGGAATGTTAAAGGTGATGATGATAATGACTGACAGTGATGAAGAGGATGATTAAGAGGAGGATGATGATGAGAGTGATGAGGTCATAGCAGAGATGATTAATATGAGCTGTCTAATTAAAAATCATCATCTGGTTATCTTCTAATGTTCGTTTAGTGAGAGGGAAATGTGCTTAAAGAAATTTATTTATCGTGTAAATGTGACAAACAGTTGACCCCGGTGTGTGTGGGCGGATTAAGAGACAGTTTGCGCATCTTAGTAATTATTTTTAATTTTTGAAGCAAACAAAAAGAAAAAACAATTAAATAAGACAGAAAATGAGGCTAAAGAGGCCCGTGGAGCCGTTTTGTGCATCTTTCTAATTATTTTTGTCTCCTTCTGTTCTGACATATAGTGACATAAACGAGGACACAAAACTAATTAAATGAAGGAATGAGACAATATTTAAACTCTGAAGACTATTTGTGGCTACTTTTAGCTGTTTCGTTCCTCTGCTTTTATTTTTTGATGAGAAGGAAGAGAAAAATTAAAAATTAGTCTAAAACTGTTTCTATTGAGGGGCTTCGGGGTGGCGGCCACCTGCTGATCTACCTGAATGTGTATGATGTGAAGTCACAGTAACAAGTGTGAGTTTATTACAACTTCCTGTCAACATGGCACATCTGTATGCTGCTGCATATACGCCCCTGATTTGTTCTCAGATTGTATAAAAACTAGCTTGTGTGTATTTTTGTGATTTGTTGTCATATGTTTAGGTTTAGTTTCCTGAAATCCATAAAAAGAATTGAAAAATTCCCCCAAAGTTACTTTTTTTCTGGCGTAAGAACACCTTTGATGCTAATTTCATGGTATTCTGTGTGACCACAAACAAAGAGCTTTAGGTCCAAACTGTGAAGCGTGACAGTGGACCTCACTGCTTTGTTCGTCACTCACATACTGAAGTGTGTTCGCACACACTCGGGTTCTGAACTTCAGTCATTACATTTTACTGTGAGGTGAGTCTCCAGGAAGTGAATAAAAGCCAGTGTGATGTCCTCTGAAGTGATGAAAACACAGCTCTCCGTGTGTCTCTGAGTGACACTTTAATTGACTCAGAACAAGACAATTGACCCTGGAGGTCAAAGGTCAGAGGAAAACTCCCTCTTTTATGTGTTTTGTCCTGCAGCTGAAGGCAGCGAGATGTCCTCTGCTCTCGTGTTGTGACCGAGGCGATAAACATGTCCATCAAAATCAAACTTCAGTGAAATCGAGGGATCTCTGTGGTATCATTGCCTTAATGCAGTGCATGATGGGAAGTGTATGCTCATCAGCTGATTGGACATTTAGTCAGCTGAAGTTTTATTTTATGTAAATTAAACTATTTAATAAGAAAAATCACATGAAGTAAAAAATAAAAGAATAAAAATCAGAAAAAAGTCAACAGCTCAAACAACTTTTTTCTTTTTTTCCTCTTATCACTCTTATGTTTATGTAACTCCTTAACTGAGCTGCTGTTTTGAGCACATTTCCACCTTATTACATAAACCTAATGGTTCATTTCTTCTCATGTAAACACTACATAACCACAGTTAAATGACTACACAGAGATCTGCTTTTTCCATTGTTAGTAACACCTGGAGATGCATTTTTATAAAGTAAATAAATGAAATGTTTGTTTTTCTAATGATTCATAGCAATATAGTGCTGATATAGTGCTGAGATTAATTTTGTAGAGCGCAAAAAAAACTCTGGAAAATCACGTCAAGTGAAGACGACGCCTGAGCCATTGACTGTATGTGTAATGTAAATTACTCCAACATGAAAATATAAGACAAATAATAAACAGCTTTGGGATAAAAAAAATTTATTAAACAAGTCATTGATATACAGGCGAGATCAGTGATTCCCAAAGTGTGGCCCATAGTAATAACAGTTTGAAATTACAAGTATCTCCAGTTATATATTTATATAAATGTATTTATTTATTGTGATATTATTAATGTGATATTATTCTTTGCACTGCCTTAACACTTTGCATGTGACTGGATAGCATTAGCTATTTATTGCTAACAGCCTGTGTTTGAATTTTAAATAAATATTTCAAGAAAATCCGTCACTTCTGTTGTATTTTCATTCGAATCTTGTATCGTTAGAAAATGTAAGATTCAGAATTTCAGTTTTTTAAAGTAGGCTGCAACTAGATCACTACAACAATTGATTTGCGTGTTCTGGCTTCTCATGGCGTTACGATTACTGTAGCAGCTACGTGCTGACACTAGATTTATACTTTTCTGTATGAATCCCTTGTAGCCACAGAAACGTCTGAATACCCTACGTTGTAACCTGATGTGCACCAATACAGGCCACACAAGTATAAGCTCTGCTAATGACATTGGCCTTTTGCATGATTTACATCGTAGATTCAACACAGAAGCATAATTAAGGCTTAGTCAGGCAGGACTGACTAAGTTAACTATTCTGCCAAAGTACAAAGTAAATATTATTTATCTTTGCTTCAAACCAGATTTACTGATAGCTAAAATAAGACTGTTATGTATAAGTTGTGTGTCATGGATTACATTAGATTGTCAGGTATTCAGGCAATCTAGCAGACTAGCTTTTCCATTCAGATATTATTTTAATAGTGATGACAGCCAGCTAGCTGCTGTTTATAATGTTAGCTTAGAAAGTAATGTGAACGTGACATGCTAGCTTACCAGATTAGGGTATCTGGGGTTGGGGTTTTAGATAAATTAGCCATCGTCATCAGCTTAAACCTGTATTTTGCTTTGTAGGTAAGTTACAGTTTGTCCATATTAGCAGGCAAGTTAATGTTGATTATAATTGATTTTGGTTTTTTATTATTTTTTTGAGCTGCATCCGGTTTGACTGAATGTCAGAAAAAATATTGTCAGGTTTCATAAAATGTGCCTTGCTTGCTCATGATATCATAAGTAGAATAAAATCTGAAGCCACATCAGGGTTAGTTTCTGTTGTCATGTGTAGTTTGTGTTGTAATCTGTGTCGTGCCAGTCATTTGGGGATGTTAGAGATGAGTGGACTGTATTTCTAAGCTAATAGTAGCTAGCCAGTTAGCGTTAGCTGGGGTTACCTTCTCGCAGAAATCGGTCCATTATTTTGTAATATATTCAGATAATGACAATAATACATTTTTAATACGTTAAAATGTATTATAAAACGAGCCTATACTAGGCAGGTGCATATAAACCAACAAATCTCATCAGTGCTGTTACTGGGGACAAAATCCTTTGGTTAACATTCTTGATCCACTTCTGGCAAACATCCTAATACTCTGTATGCTCAGGCCACCTTGGTGAAGTGGTCTCATACAGGCTTTTCTATTTCACATTCAATTTTATTCCAGAGTTTAACTTTGCCAATATTGAACACCACAGGTTCTCCCTGATCCTGCTCATTACCATCAAAAGCAAATTAAAAGTACAGAAATGTTCACGCTTTGTGAAAACTTGCACTTAAACATGTCGGGGGAGTCCATTACAGTGATGCCTACATGTTACCTTCTGCTACGTCACTGGGTTAATCAGTTTTAAGGGTAAAGCTTGATTTTTTTAAATTCTGTGAGAACAAATAATTTTTCTGTGGTTAATGGAAATATTCAAATATTCTAAGCTACCGTTAGTATATGAAGTATATCAGTTGTAATGAATCATTAGAGGGTTTCAAAGGTTTTTGATGATCATAATGAAGTTTTAACAGCTGAAAACATGAAATTTATGGCAAACATATTGTTGCAGTTTAAAGGAGGAGGACTGATCTTGCATTTACAAAAAATAGAAGAAGAAAGGGGCACCTCTGTGTGTTTTCGTGCCTCGTGTCCTCAGCCTCGGACACCACTTGCACGCCAGGTTCGACCCATGCGGCCCAGACTCGGCCTTTCCTGTGCAGCTTTGGGACCTGGAGGACAAATGCCAGCCCATTCAGGAGGCTCTAATTGTGGCCCGGGAAGCTCCACAAAGCCCCCCTGCCTCCACCTTCAATGGGCTGCCCTGCAGAGGCCCGTGTGAACCGCAGAGCCCCTTTTTCCTCCCCATCCTGCCTCAGTATGGCAGCCTCCGCCTCCCCGTGCTCCCCCCACCCGCTCCACATGTTAATTAATAGGCCTTACTGGCAGATTTGGATCCCGCTCGGCTTTGATTGAAGGCGGCCATTAGCATCTATTAATTTTGCCTCTGGCGTTTTATCGCCGGCTCTGAAAGAGGGAATTAAGTGGTGTGAGTCATTGTGAGGCTGAGTTAAAGTGTGATTATTGTCCCCGCAGCCTGGAGCCAGCTAACTGCTGCTAAGCCCTCTTGAAAGTGAAGGGGCGACTCCTCTCATTAGACCCCAACAAGGGAAAGATATTAACAGGAAATAACTGCAAATTTCTTTTTCTCCACTTTTAATCGCTCCTGTTCATGACCCGCATGAAAAGGACACTTAAAAAATGTAAAAAAGGAAAGTGGAGCACAAGCGACATGGCCAAACAGCGACAGCGATGATACAGTTGTCCTGCTGATGCCTGTCACTTTCATCAGGTTTAATTGGGCGAGGAGGAGCAGCTGCAGGACGGTCGAACATGGCTGAGGTGGTTCTTAAGAACGCCACAGAGCACGAAGTAGTCTGAAAAAGAAAACTGCAAAAAAAAGTGGCTGACAAACTTCAGACGACATATAATGCGTCTGATGATACATGGAAACAGTGGTGTGCAGCAGCTTTTATAGGACCTGATTAAAACGTACCATTGTATGATTTTGTTCATGCCTTTTGTTACATGCTGACAGGCTTGTCCGCTCGATGGACTCCTAAAGAACTGTAAAACATCTTTATTTCTATACTTGATGAGTGGTGGACGAATTTTTAAGAACCTTTCCTTTCGCAAAACACTATAAAGACGCTTCACTACACATTCAAATTGATT